GATATTGTGCAAGTAGTTAACTTAATAAAAGCTAGATCTTTGAATTCTCGCATTTTTAATTTAATTTGTGAAGATATGGGAAGTATACACAAGCAGTTGCTATTGCACGCTGAAGTACGCTGGTTATCGCGAGGTAAAGTTGTGTCACGTGTTTTTGAGTTAAAAAATGAAATTAGAATGTTTTTTTTTAATAACTCTATGGAAGTTACTAAATATGCAAATCTTTTCAATAATTTTGAATGGCTCTGTACAGTGGCCTATTTGGCTGATATTTTTAATTCTCTGAACTCATTAAATATTAGTTTACAAGGGAAAGAAGACAATATTTTTCACACGGAGGATAACATTGAAGCTATGTTAAAAAAACTTGAGTTATGGAGAAAACGTGCCCTTCAAAACAATTTTAACCACTTTCCAACTCTTTATGCATTTATAGAATCATCCGATGAAGTTTTTCCTCAGGACACAAAAGATATAATTATTGAACACCTCCAAATTTTGAAACATTCATTTCGAAAATATTTTCCAGTTCCTGACAAAAATAAAAATTGGGTAGTAGACCTAAGGCCATTGATGATTTTTTCAACAACTTATCTCTGTGAAAAAGGATTTTCAGCTTATGTGTACACTAAAAATAAATATAGAAATCGATTAAATATAGAATCAGATTTACGTATTCAACTTTCTAATATAGATCCTAAAATACCAGATTTAGTATTAAAGAAACAACACCATCCATCACATTAAACGCATTAATTATTTATTATAAAAATAATATATCTATTTATCCATTTTTTTTATTAATTCAATTTTTCATTATAAACATATGTGTATTTAATTTTAAAAATAAAGCAAACAATTTAGTATTATTATTTATTATTGCTTTAATTTAAATTTTTATTTAGGGGTCCGCGATCTTTTTTATTTTCTCTAAGGGGTCCGGCAGAGAAAAAGTTTGGGAAACGCTGCTATAATGTCAATTTCGTATTCTGAAGCAGGATATACCAACTATATTTCTGAAAAAGTTGGTAGGTAAATTCACAACTTAAAATAGATTTAAATTTTAACAATGTATTGTACCTATGTATTGGTTAATAAGTTTAAATAGTATTTTCCAATTTTCAATCTATTATTATTTATTAGACGTGTTATTGTGTTATCTCGAGTTTTCGGGTGACGAATGTTTTAAAAAATAAAATTTCAGAATTTAATAATTAATAACGATTTACGATTGTTAATTGTACAGAGTACCTATATAATATGCATCCAGGATTAGGGGCAATTAAACTCCATAATATTTAAAATATTTAAAAATAAAATTGAAGGGGCCATTGACTTTTCTTAGGGGTCAGGCTCTCTAAGACCCCCCCTTTGGTCACGTGCCTGTGAGTGAGTGAGTTAAGTCTAAAAACACTCTTGAAAATTTTTGATGAAATTTAAAATATATCATATTTTGGTATAGATTTCGATAATTTAGGATAACTTAGTTGGGCCATTCTACAGTTACTCAAAAACTATTTACTTGAAAATTCCTAACAACAATCTTGCAAATTACTTGAAAAATATTATTGGTGGTTTAAAGTGGATATATCTATTACTATGGGAGTGACCAATTTCAAGTATATACAAAAAAAATATTGAACTAATAGTTTATTATTTATTAAGTTGATTTAATATTTGATAAGATGAGATAATAGCGAGGGATACCGGATAGGTACCTAAGTAAATTTTACTTCACTACGCGGTTTCTCAAAACTTTAAATTCTTTATAGCTTATAAAATATATAGTTATAAAGTTATAAATAATAAACTATTAGTGCAATAATCGATTTTTGTGTTAAACACTTTTAGACAATTCTTCAGAATAATATACAAAATAAAAATAATATTGGTTGCAATTTAAACTTAAAAACAATTATTACAACCTAAAAAAAAGTAAGAAAACTGTTCTTTTTTCAAAAATGTAATGTTATGGTAGTGTTTAGTTTTACGTAAAATAACACAAAAGCTGACATGAGTGAAAAAATCACATTGCGTGTTTTCCATACTAATAGTATTTTATACACATAACATTATACGTCATAGGTAAGGCCATTTTAAGTTTTAACCCTAACAAAATATTGTTTATTCAACCAGAGTTCAGTGACTTATTAAATTGGAAATACGTACACGCGTACAATTTATGTAATTAGACATCTGACACCTGATTTCAATTATAAATTACTGTCATTTGAAAAATTTGAATATTCAATTTGAATTTTGAACCAAATATTCTATTATACTAAGAGCGTAAAAACAATTTTAGAAATAATAATAGCTGTATTATTACAAAATATAGGGTTTTATGTATTCGCAGTTTTTAACCTGTAATCCGTTTAAACTTAGAGTCAATATACTCTTTATAAATATTATACTTGTATAAACTTCACGAGATAATAATATTAAATATATAAAAACATAATGTTAATATTTAATGTCAAGAATTGTCAACAGGCATTTTTGACAAAAAAATCACGTAAAACTGTGAAAAATATGGGAGTTTGAAAAATAATCTTTATATAAAGGATAACCGGTATTCAATTTATATTCAATAGAAACGCTTGGGTAAATCTGTTTAGCTTTTTTCCATCCCAAAAAGTATTTTTCAACTTAACCAATAAAAACATGATAATAATTAAAAAACCAATACTTTCGTTTAAAATTGAATTAATTACAAAATAATAGTATTCTTATAATTGTTCTACTATTATTAAAGAACAATTGAAATCACATATAACTTTTTTATCAATTTTCCATATTTTTATTAAGAGGTGTATGACAAACTTATATAATAAGTGCATTGAAAAAAGTTGGTGTTAAGGTTATATGAATTTATCCTTTTTAATATTAATTAATAAGAGGTGTAGACTATAGTGTATATAGTTAAATAATTTTTTCTAAGGTCGATCGATTTCTGCGAACAATATTTTACTTACTCCAATACGAAATTAATTTTATGTAAATGTTATGCTACTACCATATAGGTACTACTACAAATATACTAAATGTAACATCAGGGGTTCAAAGAAGTATAAAATATTTATGGTTAAATAATACAATGTACGATATTATAAGCAGGTAAAACACTTAGCATAATTTGTATTTTAATTCAATAAGATTTATAATGTATTTGTGATCAAAAATGAACAAGGAAGGACATTTGGATTTAAAATTGCAAATATTTAAGGTGTTATATAATATATAATGTATGTATTATTTTATATAATCTATTTTAAAAATTTTATAACTTGTAATAGCTTTAAAAATTTATTCTCAAATGTCCTAATGAATGTTAAAATTATGTCGATGCATAATATGTACTTCGTTTGTCTATAAACTACTTTCCTACATACAGTGATTATATTATCACTGGATGACATTCACTATTTGATTATGCAACATTTTCAGATCTCGACTGACACCATATAGTGTACATTTCATACGAATAAATCATTACCTACACGATAATATATCATGTCCGATGAAATTTGTTCGTTTTTATATAAACATTTAATTAGGGTTTTTATATAAAAAAATGTTGAGCATTTGTTTTTAAAATTTGGTTAGTATACTTGTTGCTGGTTTGCACTTCACTTGGGATAAAAAATAAAACAGTTTGATGTGTTTTATTTTATTTAAGGGGGACAAACAGAGTGGAAAAATTCATTATACATTCTCGTGCACTACTTTTTATGAACCACTGGATATTTCACGCGATTACAATGTTCATTCGATTGTGTCCAACTGTAAAGAGGACACCGAAGCTTTACATTTATTAATTCGTGACTGTTCCTACTGAGACAAAAACAAATGATACACAACCGCTGCTTATTCGTTCAACACGTCGAACCAAACCAGTTTTCAATTGTGTAAGTCGGGGACAATTCATTCGATGTAAGTAAAACACTATTATTTTTAACCAAAATCACGTTTAGTTTATTGTAAACACATATTATTATACCACTAAATAAACATAATAGTTTAGTAAAAAATCCAGAATACATAACGTTTGGTATTCGGCAGACTTAATCATAAAGACGTAAACAAAATATATATATAACCAATGTCGCAAACAAATGGCACATTTTTTTTTATAAATTCACTTCAGTATTTTTACATTTTTATTGAACATTTATATATTAATTTTCTAACAGATATTTATATTCCACACAAAGTAATTCGCAAAATAAATAAATTTATGTTTGTACTGCAGTTTGTGTTATAGCTATGAGAACATTAAGAACGTTATTATTTTAATTAATGGACTTTCAAAGTTATAATTATATTTGCAAGAAGCTTGAAATATGTATGGGATTAGAAGAGAAAATTATAAACGAGATTTGTATTTAATTTTTTTGCCAAAAAATGTAATAAGGATTCCTCTGAACGAGTTAACGTATTCTCGCGTTCAAGGATTTTCATAATTTATTATAATAGCAATTGCCTTATCACCTTTTGAAGTAGGCAGGTATGTATTTATTTTCTAACGAACTCTCCACGAAAATTAATCTTTTTTGAGCGGTTTACGCTACAATTAATAATTTAATAACTGTAATAAGCGTATAGATAATTTTATCATCAAACTTTTTCTGTAACTATTGAGCTTTTGACAATGTAGGTTGATTATAAGGTCCCTGACCTTTTTATCCTACGCAAACCACGCAAAACCGGTCTCAAGGTAATTTAAGAGTGTATTCGTGACATTTTAATGTGCCGTATTACACGCATACAGATACATTCGCATAGAAATCAGACTGCCGCAACGATTCTCCAGCACTACTCCCCTCTATTCCACTAGATCCCCCTCACATGATGGTCACGTTTTATAAATAGTAGTTGTTTAGTAATATCCAGTTTTTTGAAACCGTAAACGCCTTGGTTATATATAGTAAATTATGTGAAAAAAAAAACTATACGAAGACACTCAGTTCGCGAACATAGCACGAGCCGAGTACATCAAGATGACCAGGTGAGTGAATCAATTAAACAAACAAACCCACGCTCACAAATAATTTGTTATTGTTGTTATACTATAATATGTGATAAGCAGGTGTAGGACGATAAGCTGATGATAATTTATTTTTGTTTAATGTGTCTGTTATGATGATGCATTTTTTTTATGCCTATTAACATGCCTTATACTATTAATACATTTGATTGTTTTAAATCCAATACGCGGTGATATTATTATTATTCGGATATGTCGTTACATGTAGATGTCGCGTATATATGTACCGCATGTGTAAATTTTCTTCTATTTTATCGAATAGAAATCACTTTATTGGAAAGTATTTGGTGAACGTCACGGTATGACGTCAGTATACCTAAGCACCGATAACGTCGTAAGATATCACGAGAAAATATGGTTCCGTTAGAAATATTTCTCAGATTTTCAAATTCTATAGGTAATGACACTTGGATAATAATTCACAAAAAAATTATTCCAGCAATGAGGCATACAATTGGCTAAGAATGAGTATGCTATACTACTGTTTCTAAAATTTGGAAAATGCTTAGATTTGTTGTACAATTTAAGGAGTGTCCTAGCCCCTGGGAGATACCATCTTCTTTCTTTTTTCAAATGATAACCAACCTGTCATAGAGTAAATTATTATGTTGATTTTTTACTTATAAACTTAAGAAATGTAAAATATGGTAATTACTAAGTTTATTTAAATATTCCAATCATCAAAATTTGAATAAATATATTATTAAAGGAAAAAATGTGTGTGTGTGCATGTTTAGTGAATAATTCTAGACAAATATTGATGTAAATTCCTATTTATTACAAGCCTTTAGCAAATATACCGACTTAGTTAGGAGGGTATAGGGTAAAATATGTCCATACTGTTTAATAAGGAGAAAATATGAGGGCTACGGCTATCACCCCACACCAATTTGGTGCTAGTTGGGCCTACGGCATCGTGTAGCCTTTTTACGTATAATATAATAAATTGTTGACTTTTTGGTAATCGTCTCACTAATATTTTATAGTCTTCTCTAAAACTATATTTAATTATAATATACAAAGCGATCACCTTATTAGTTCCGAATTATATGTTATTAAATGTTGGTCAGTTATACGTTAATACCCACCTTCACTAATATATTTTACATAATTATTATAATAATAAAGTTTAAAACAAAATTATGATAATAATTATAGGTAGTACATATCGCAAGATGTTGCATTATAACAGTGCCGCAGCAAATACATTTTGTCTGAGGGAGAGAACGTGCGTTTTTATTTGACCGACAAAACGTGCAATGTTTCGTAATCGAACCGATGTGCCCCGGAGAGAAAGTGGTCTTTGCAACCGGTCGGTATCATGCATGATATATATATGCATAATATATATATATATATATATATATATATATATATGTATATTCGCATGTGTACCAAAAAGGTTTTGCACTTGGTGATAAGTAGATTTATTCATAAATGGGAGGGTGTACAATAGTAGTACATAAGGAAGCTGTTATCTAATGTGTGTGTTGATATAATATACTATATCGAATGCATATACAAAAACTAGTTCGGATAATAACACAATATAATATAATACATAATATGTATAAAGTCCATGGATAAACATTTAGAAGGAATAAAAGCGTCGTTTTTAGTCGTGCAATCGATTTAAACGTTTAAGATAAAATATTGTACGACATTGTTTCGAATTAAATTGCATATGATCGGGTAAAATCGAAATTAACTCGTTCGCCCGGCACAGTTGGACGCAAACGGACCGAGGACGTCCGCCTGTAAATAATGTTCATGACACGTACAAAATCAGATTTTTCAATTGATTTTACATTCATATTTCACATTATATTTTAACTAATTTCATTATACACAGGACATTAGATTGCGTTTACGGGAGGCCAAAGGGTCCACTGCCCGATGACATTGCATCCACCAGACGCCTGTTGGGCATGACCGACGAGTCGATACGCCGAGATATCTGCGAGCTCACTCAGTGGCTTCGCGACCAACCTAACCTGCCGAACACTTTGGATGGAGGTGAGATATTATTAACACGGCCTCCAAAAATAAAATAAAAAAACCGGTAGAGAGTGGGACACGTGTAAAGTAATTATATTTACATCACTTTTATTATGTTATATAAGATTTAATTGCGTCTTTAGGCCCGTTCGGGTCTGCAAGTCTACTATTAAAGTAATGTACTGTCATTTTAAAACCTTTTTAATTGACTATATTTTTTGAAGATCCAATAATCTTAACAAGCAGTTAAGAGTCAAGTTAACCATCCAAGAGCGATGGTTATTATTTTTATACCGTATAGTTAATAATAATTAATATACCTACCCGTACCATATATTTATATGTTGCATAATACGCAATTAACAAACTACGGTCTTATAGTGTATGATGGTCAGTGCATAAGAAAACGAGATATAACTTACCTGAAACAAACAAATAGCAACTATTATATTTATGAAGAAATTCGCAAAACAAAAATGCATAATATATAAAATAACACAATTTCTTGAGGAAAACAATTATAACAATATTAATAGATTATATTACACGAACAACTTTTTGTTAAAGTGGAATTGGACTGGTGGATGGAGAATTACCTGGTTATGAACAAGAATGAAGTTGAAAGAGTTAAAGACAACTTGCCAGTGTACTTTCAACTAAAAACTATCTTGCCGGAAGTAATGACCAACCGAGATCCAAAAACGAATAAGGAGATGATAAAAGGATACGACACGACGTAAGTTTGTTTTCTACACTCTGGTTTTTAAGTTATCACTAAAACGAAAATCCAATATAGGCACAGTAATATACCTGTAGCCAAATGGACTGTATAGGTGCGTATGTGAATGCGTACGAGGGTGAACATCATTAGACAAGTATACTTGTTCTGATGAATATCGGCAAAGCGGAATTGAATATTTCGATTTTTTTTTATGTGTTTAGACTTTTGGGTTTGGTACCCACGGTAATGGACGGTGGCCGAAAACTAGCAGTGTATATGCATCGCGAAGATACGCCTACATCAGATTACAGCCCAGCTGGTATAGCCATGCACTTGACATGTTTGGCCGACCTTTATCTCGCCCAAGGAATAGATCACACAAAACTCGTGCTCGTTGTCGACATGAGGACGGTGCGGTTAGGTCATCTGGCCAGATATCCATTAGGGCTGTTACGCCGTTTTTTCTTATACGCCTGGGTAAGCCGTAATGCCATATATGATACGAATTAATGAGAGTGTGAGCTCATGTCGGGTTGGCAACAATACGATTTTTTTTTTGTTTTTAAATGTGAAGTATCAAATAGTATTATAGATTAATTATAAAAATATGTTTTTATTATATGATATACCTATATGTATAATGTATAATATGATTTAATTGTTACAACGGTTTTGGTTGGATAATGTAGGTATGTCCAGAATTAATTTATTAAATCTGATTAATGCGTAAATAATTACAGAAAGCTTATCCAGAACGCGTGGCTCAGATCCACATAATAAATCCACCAGCCATATTGAGTGTAATAATGGCGATGTTTAAACCTCTCCTTAAGGCGAAAATTCGAAAGAGAGTGAGTATGAATATAAACGCATTTACAAAATGTTATTAGATTTTTGAATAATCGCGATTTGTATTTTTTAGATGATTGTACATCGTCATTTTGAAACATTCTTGGAGCACGTGCCATTAAAATATATGCCTAAGGACTACGGAGGCGAATCACCGTCATTGATCGAGCTTCATGGTAATGCGTTATTTTTATTGAAATAAAAATAATTTAGAAATCAAATTTAAAAGGCTGTTACTTCGATATTGTTTTCGCAAATTTTTTCCTCATGCGCAGGGAAACTATTTTGAGGAGATCGATAAAGTTAATTTTTTTTTTTAGTTTTGTAGTAATAACTAAATTAAATTTCCAATTGATAAACAGGACTACTAAAACCTTCGTAGCTTTTTTTACTGCCCCGTAAAAATACGGATAAAAAAAAATTACTTAGTAAACCAATGTTTAGTCATCGTGGTGGTCTCGTTTAGAATTTAATACTACAAAAATTGTTACAGAGGCTTGGCGTCAAAAAATTATCGACCATCAACCATACTTAAAAAATTGCTCGGCTAAACATAGAGTGGTGGACCAAAAAGCAAATGTTGAAGCTTCTGAAAATAATATGTCGTCGTAAAACTGATTGGCAATTAATATTATTACGATTTATGAATGTACATTATAGGTATACTTTTATGATAATAACCGTGTATCAACATTAGTTTAGTTATACAAATTAAAATATAAATAATTATGAATTGTATCCATGTTTATAAATCCATGTGTGTATTGTTTTGTTTTTTCAAATTAAAAGGTCCACAAGAAAATAAACACATTTTCTAGGGTCGTTAAAATTTCTTTCCAAATGTCTTATATTATACAATATAATAAAGTTAATAAAGTTATAAATAGGTGTATAATGCATTTAATATAATTTTGTACACCTACATAATATATTATATTATATGATATTTATTATAAATGTCATGGGAAATCATAATTATTAAGTATACAAGATTTATTTAAAATGTATTTTTACTATTGAACGATTATTACAATGTGTATTTCAAACATAAACTAAAAGCAATAATTGATAATTCTGCACTAGGTAATACCTACGTTATATGATAAGACCTATTATTTAAGCGCAAGTTTTTATTTATTGCATATGATTAAAAAATGACCAT